TACTTTACGAGGATCAGTGACCTCTGGTGCGCGGTAACCAGCTACTCTGTTGGGGCTGGACGATGGTCCAACAAGATGCGCTAGACCGAAATCGGAGACTCGAGCATCGTAGGATTTGGTTAGTAGAATATTCGACGATTTTATGTTTCCATGGGAGACATTAGGACCTTGTGAATGCAGATATTCAATTCCACGAGCAGCTCCAAGGGCAATTCCAGACCTGATTTCCCAACTCAATGGAGTCCTTCCAGCTCCTTTGTTTCCTGTTGTCCAAAGTAAGCAACAAGGAAAGAGTAAAGCTTTAAAACGTACAACCAATGAATCCAAATCAAGCTAGAGAAAGTAGAGCCAATTATGATCAAAACGTAAAACTAAGCAAAGCAGATATTGTCCTCGTTAGGCTTTCCCTTTCGGACTTCCCTTCGAGGTTTTGAAAACGTGTGTGCTAGGGAAAGGTTTCCACACCCTTATAAAGGGTGTTTCGTTCTCCTCACGAACCGATGTGGGATCTCACAAAGTGAAACAGCTTACCGTGTAGAAGAGCAGATAAGCTTCCCATGGGCATGTAATCATAGACAATAAGCTTCTCGTCAGCACTGAAATAGTAAGCCCGGAGAGGGACCAAGTTTTCATGATCCATAGATCCAACAGCTTCAACCTTCTCTCTGAATTCCCTCTCAGTTATGGTGACATCCTTCAACCTCTTCACAGCCACTACAGAACCCACTTCCAATGCAGCTTTGTAAGCAGTCCCAAAGGTTCCTTTCCCCAACACTTCGGCTGAAGCCCTCAAAAGATCCTCCAAATCAAAAACCCTTGCAGCATTACCAAAAAACACCAATTTTTTAGACCCAGTTCCATTGCCATTCACTGTTGCCGCCGCCGCTGTTGCAGCAGCAGTGGCAGTGGCAGTGACAGTGGCAGTGGCTGGTACAGTAAAACCATCACTATGACCGCCATTTTCAAGATCGCCGACTGGCTTACCCGGCTGAACTTCAACTTCAGGAACCTTCACTGTGGCTAAATCGACTGAACGCGTTTGCTTGGCACTTTTCTTTCGGCACAAAAGCATTAAGATTACAAGTATCAACACAAAACCCAGTACAGATCCAATGATAATCCCAGCAATGGCTCCCCCCGACAGCTTTTTCTTGTGTCCAGAGCCACCATTGTCCCCAACCTCCCCTGTTGGCACAACAAGATCACCAACGCAAACCTCTAGAGGGCGGCCGCAGAGAGAATTGCCCAAAAAGGAACGCGAAGAAAACGACTGTAATCCCTTTGGAACCGACCCATTTAATTGATTGTTGGAAACATTGAACTGATCCATAGGGATCTTCAAATCCGGGATAGACCCAGATAGGCGATTGTTCTCGAGGAACAGCGTCCTAAGACGGGTCAAATTGTTGAACCCAGAAGAGATCTCCCCAGAAAAGTTATTGGACGCCAAATTAAGACGAACAAGATCATGAAGCTGGAACAAGAAATCAGGGACAAGACCTGAAAACTCATTACCTTGCAAATAGAGGTTGCGAAGATTAATGCAGGCAGAGAGATCTGATGGGAGCGGACCGGAAAGGGCGTTGAGCCGAAGGCTGAGAGTGCGAAGCTGAGTCAAGTTCCCAAAAATGCCGGTCGGTAATTGACCAAAAAGCGCCTCTCCGGGAAGACGCAGAACAGTGACACGATTGTCCTCGCATTGAATCCCAGGCCAAGAACAGTGATTCTGATCAGTCACATTCCAGAGCCGAAGAGTTCGGCCACCCACAGCAGAGCGAAGGGCCAACAGAGCTGTTCTATCAGAGCCAAGATCTGGCCTCACAGTAGATAGTAGAACACAGAACCCCAAAAGAAACAGAGCAAGCAACCGAGTTCCGATCTGGGTTCGCATTCTGAGATGTTTAGAGCAAAACCCAGTTGAGATTCTTCAAAACGGGGGACTCTAATCACAAAAATTCCAAAACCCAATAAGGTTCGCAAGGCATTGGTTGGAAGATTGAAAAGAGGGAGCAATAGAACTACAAAAAAGGGTAGAGTATGAGCTGGGGAAGCTGCAAATTGTGTGCTGTCGGCTGCTTTTTTCAATTGGGTAAGAGGAATTTCACAGAGTTAACAGGCTGTGGCTAAGAAGATGAACAGATTTCCCCTTTTTCAAATTTTTTTAGTACTCAGAGAGAGAAATGGATAGAGAAAAGGAAAGCCATAGCTGAGCGTGTAAGCATTCCATGCTTTTTGGTGTATCCAAAAGCCAGTGGTCACTGTCAAATTCACAGACCTATTTTCATTTTTTCTTTTCTTAAATTTTTGTCTTTATATATTCCATCTATTTTTCTTTCCAAATGCTTACATTTTCAAATTTATTAAATTATGTTTAATTATTTATATTTAAAAAAATAAAATTATGTTTAATTATATATTGAACTAAGTATTAATTAAAACTATAAGATTAGCTCAAATATGTTGATTTTAATGTAAGAAATCAATAATAATCATAGCTTATTCACTTAACCTATGTAACATTGGTTCTAAAGTACCAATAATTATAATTTGGATAAATCTTAATCTAAATTCATTAAAAATACAATTAAGCTATATTAGATATCTTTCCATCTATTATAATAATAATACATTTAAGCTAATTAAACATAATTGTACCATTCCCATATTAAGCTCTTTTCTATTTTTATATTTTTTTTTTGTTTTTATAGTTAAAATAAATATTCTCAATAAATGTTATGGTTGAGTTTAATTATATACCCAACTTTTTTTTTTAAATTTTGTGACAATATTATTGGAAATTGAAAGGGCCCAAAGTTAGGTGACAAAATGTCTATCCAGAGGATACTTTTTTCTTTTTTGTATTAATTGATTGTTGTTTGATTCCAATGTTTCAGTTGCATAAAACTTTTTCATTCTAATAATTACCTTTTGACCTATTTTTCCCGACAAATTACTTTCTTTATAGTTAAAACTTTCATTTAATTTGTTTGGTAATTACTTTTATTTGTTTTTTTCCGTTTATAATTGTAACATTCTCAAAGCTTTATGATATGATATTTAACAAATAGATGAAAAACAAGGTAATCGAGAGAGTTAGTTTGTAAGACAGAATTATTTTTTTATCTCTAAATTTTTATACTCGATCAAATATTCATATAAATAATGTGATATTTATTAATTACTAGACGCGCTATACGTACAATATATATATATATATATATATATATATATATATATATATATTAAAGAATAGAATAGCATATTTCTTTTAAGTATTATTATTTTATTCATATCACATGTGGGAGTACGTAACAATTAATTAATTACATAGGTATGGGTATTTTTATCGTTAAAAGATATAATTAAAAAAGAGTCGGTGTGATGATTTTATATAGAAAGTGGTTGAGTTAATAAAATTAATGCTTGTGGTTTTATTATAAAATTGCAGCACTTTATCATTTACGTTAACACCAACATCCAACTAATAGTGATGAAAGTCTTAAATCATTTAAAATCATTTCAAGGTAAAATAAATCATAACATAAAATTAAAAAAATAGTTCATAGATAATTATAATTCAATAATTAAAAAATAATTTTAAAATTGAGAATCCAAATATACCATCTCCTTAAAACCTGGAACGTTTTAATTGGGTAAGGCTACCTGGGGCGGTCCACGTGGTTTGATTACGTGGCAGCCCAATAATTTCAGCCGGCCCAGCCTGCTTTAATTTAGGGCCGACAAAGATAAAACTTTTTTTAGGGAAAATTTGTGAAATGAGGTCTGAAAAGGCAAATATCAGAAGGATTATAAATAATAAAAAGTTTAGCCCAACACTTTAAGAAAATCTATAGCTATTTATTATTTCAAAGAAAATAAAAGAAAATTATCTTCTCTCCCCTTTATGCTTTATTTTTCATCTTAAAAACACGTAATTATGGTTAAAAAGATCATAAAGTTTCAATCTGAACTAAAGAAAAAAAAAAGTAGTTTCTTTTTTTAATAACAGCTAGCTAAGTGGGTCATAGCATGTTTAATAGGGGTGAGCGGAATGGTAGAATGTAACAACCTAAGTCCACCGCTAGTAGACATTGTTAGAAATCACGACTCTCCACAGTGGTATGATATTGTCAACTTTGAGCATATGACTTTGCTTTGAGCTTCCCCAAAACACTTGGAGAGAGTACCCTAAATTAGCCAATGTGGGACTTCTTTCATCATTCATCACCTTCCCTCGAACAAAGTGTGCCTCTTCCTTAATCGAGGCTCGACTCCCTTGGAGTCTTAGTTATTTTTTACTGCATTCGAGGAGACTTGACTCTTTTTTCGTTTGGAGTTCTTTGTTCGATATTTGAGGATTTACCAATGAGGAGGCTTGACTCCTTTTTCGTTTGGAGTCCTTTGTTCGATATTTCCTTTTTCGTTTGGAGTCCTTTGTTCGATATTTGAGGATTTACCACGGAGTCCTTTGTTCGATATTTGAGGATTTACCACGACTCTCCACAATAGTATGAGGATTTACCAATCTATTGGCATGACTAAGTTTAGAGCATGGCTCTGATACCACGTTAGAAATCACGACTCTCCACAATAGTACGAGAATTTACCAATCTATTGGCATGACTAAGTTTAGAGCATGGCTCTGATACCACGTTAGAAATCACGACTCTCCACAATAGTACGAGAATTTACCAATCTATTGGCATGACTAAGTTTAGAGCCCAATAAGTTTAGAGCATGGCTCTGATACCACGTTAGAAATCACGACTCTCCATAATAGTATGAGATTGTCCACTTTGAGTGTAAGCTCTCATGACTTTGCTTAGGGCTTCTAGCAGATGTGGGACTTTCATCATCTCACAGACATATTGTCCATTTGGACAAATTACTTGCTCTCATCAGCCTCACACTTTTAAAACGCGTTTGGAAGGGAGAGATTTCCAAGTCATATAAAGAATGTTTCATTCCCCTCTCCAACCAACTTGGGATCTCGCGTAATAGAGCGTTAAAAGCTGCATCCATAATTCAACGACCCTATGTTGAAAATATTCTAATGGGCTTTGTGTTCGATGATTGCGAGAACTATATGATACAGACTACTGATATATTACTAGAAATCAGAATAGATCAGAAGTACGAGAGATAGAGAGACAAAGGCTTATCTGTTTGCTCGCTTAAGCTCATCCATTAACAGATGTGCAACAGATTCGTATCCCATTTCTCGAGCTGCAAAAATCAACACAAAAATGGCAGCAAAATGATGACCCAAAATCAAACAATAACACATAAAGTTTGCATACTAAAGCAGAAAAATCAATAACCTCTGTAAATGGCAAGCCCTGTGGGAGCCATCTTGCGCTTCTTCAAGCACAATGAACTGCAAGAACACACCCAGTTAAAATCCATAGTCAGTAGGCTGTTTCTAAAGACTTTAAGCAACCAGACCTGTTGCATATCCAATAAGGGTTGGTTCCTTCCTTCTCCACACAATGAGGGCACATCCATTTCTTGTTCTCAATCACTTCTTCCATTTCTGATCAACAAACACCACAGCCCATTCCCACATTAATTCTATGTCTCAAAGATTTTGATCAGCAGTTTGTATTGAGTAGAGCTGTTTACCTTCGCCATATCTGACCTTCAGACAAGCTCGGCAGAACACACCACTGGCGGAATGGCAAACGGAGCAATCAGTTTTCCCTATAGGGAAATAGTCAGTACATTTCAACTACATTTTAATTGAAATAGATTTTGTTTAACTCACTTACCGATACATGGTTCATCCATATCGAGATTACCACATCTCTTGCAATCTTCTTCACCACAGAGTTTCTTCTGCCTATACCACATCCCAATTAAATTTCAAACACCATTCATCTCAAATCAACCATCAGCAATGACAGAAATGTGTAAGAACAGAAGATTGAATGTACCTGCAGAAATGGCAGCAAATTCCATAAACAGGATCATAAACACTCCCCCGTCCCTTACTATTGCACCTCCGTGCCGAAGCGTCCGGCGAAAGCCGATGGTCGAAGTCATCAATTTCCACCAAAGGAGCATTTGCAGGCCTCTTCTTAATCTTTTCCCCCACTGTGAAATCAAACGTCAGTTAACAGTAAATCATTACCTAAGTTATACAGTATACTCTTCAACTATTTCTCCATTGATCTACCTTCTTTAGACTCGAATTTTAGACTCTGAACTACCTTCCCTTTTAATCTGTTGGATCTCCGGTAAGAAATCTGGTCATGCACCGGAGTGGAGTCCAGTGAAATCTGCTTCAATCGATCAGAGCGACGAAGAGGAAGAGAAATCCGGGGAAGTGTGTGGCGACATTTTCTCTCTTGGATCTTCGCAGATTTTGCAGAGGAAATAATAGAACGAAGTTCGGATGCGGTCTTCTTCAACCCTAGCGACGCCAATCGCTCCTGATCCCGCCATTTTCCATCAAATCAAAACAGATAGAGATGAAAAAGAAGAAGAAGAAGAAGATGAGGGATTGAAAGAGAGACCTGATTCTCTAAAATGCGAGCGTTTCTGATATCTTCATAGTCGCTTTTTGCTCTGAGTCTTCCCATGGTGTTTGTTTCTTCTTCCTCTCCTCCTCCTTTGTCGCAACAAATTAACGCGATTGAAAAGTGGAGGGGATGATAAAATGACAAGCTTGTCGCTCGGAGATTGTCACTTACGAATATGGGCCGTATGATCTCGCTAGTGGGACCCACTGACACCGTACTGTCACCATGTTTTGTGCGGTCATTCATTTTTTTGTGACGGGGCTGTAACTTTTACACTGAGCTCAACGGTCATTTTTTGTATGGGCTCTCCGCATTTTAAAAATTCAAACTCTGAATCCTTTTGTTTTTGCAAAGAATAAAATGGGAATTTTAATTTAATAAATAAGAATTTTTTTCTTTTTTTCTTTGAAAGTTATAATTATTCTCTTTTTTTCCTTTTAAAAAGGTATTAAAGTTTTAAATTAAAACTCTCGCAACTTTATTAATAATAATAATAATAATGAAAAAGTTTAATTATTACTTTTTAACTTAACAAGATTAATTGGTCGACCTTTACCTCTGATCAACCACTAACTCCCTTCTCCCTCACTGCTACCTTAAAGCCACATTAGAGTTCCGACTTTCATTGTTGTGTTTGGTTGTAGTGATCAACGTAACTTACATCATAGCTAGCATCGAGCGTCATGTAAACTAACCACTTTGCCCTGTTATATAAGTGTTTTGTTTACTTCTAAAAGGGTTTGGATCAAGATTTTATAAGCGTCTAACTTTATAAGAGCTTTTTTTGGCGCAACCGAACACTTGTCAGAAACTGATCAGAGAGTAGTTGCCCAACTATGTTTGTCACAACGGTTTTTTAATTCAGTGTTTAGAATACATCAAAATATTAATAGAATCTAACCAATGTCATAAAATAAGATATCAAAATTTTATTATTTTTTATTTTAAAAATTGATACGTCAATTTCTATTTAATATTTAAATTGGGAGAAAAAAAATGAAGATTTATGAAAGCTTGGAAAATCGACGATTTAGGAATTAATTTAACACAAATTATAAACTTATAAAAAATCGTAATTTATCATTATTTTAAATTAATTTCTGTAGTTTATTTATTTATTTATTTATTTTTTACTTCTCTAAACCCTACTTCACGTTCAGCCACCCCCTCCCTCCCCGCTACAAGCTAACTGCACTTTGCGCGGTTCTTGCTCGACGCTGTCTCAGCTGTTGCCGCCGCACGCTGAAATCTCATCATCCCAACGAAACCGCCGGCGGCGGTCTCTCCCTCAAACCTTGTCGCCTCTTCAAGCTATCAGAGTTACTTATCTCTGTCTTTATTTTTAGAAACACAGTGGTTCAGCCTCTTTCCCGCGCCGTTGGTGAGATAACGCTGCCGCAGCTCATTCTTCAGATCCTCAAGGTTTTGTTTATTTATTTTGTTTCGTTGGTTGAGCAATTTTATTTATATTTGTTGTTGGTTTATTCTTCAACCAGTGCTCGACTAGCCCAAATGAAAACATAAAATTAAGAATGTTTACATTACAAGTTAGGAAAAAAAGATTGAATCAATTAATGAAAAGGAACAAAAAGCGTATCGTTCTTATCCGAATCGATAAATTAAGAGGAAAAGAATATTGAAGAAGATGAACAACGCAAATAACATATCATTCTATTCAGCACTGATTTGCAACATTCTAATTTCAGGGGTCCCAAACAGGGGGCGAGTGAGAATTAGAAGTCACTGCAATGGTGGTACTGGACGAGAATGTTCCATCCTCATCAGAGGCAGTGGCAATGAACAAAAGGCGCAAAAGGAAGAGAACGAAGAAAAATATTCCTTCAACAGGTGCGGAAGAATCAGAACTTCAAAACCCAATGGAAGGTGAAGAAGAAGAGGAAGGAGATGCGGAAGGTAATGTACCAGAGGAGAAAGTGAAAGAAGAGGAGAAGAAGAATAAGAAGAGGAAGTCAAAAATGAAGAAGGGCGAGTTGGAGGAGGGACATGAAAATACCAGTGATGGCGAGAGAAAGGATGGTGTTGAAGGGGAAGTGGAGAAGGACAAGGAGAAAAAGAAGGTTAAGACTGATGGATCGGGAATTATGAGTACCGTTTCATTTGATTCGCTTGAGTTGTCGGAGAAAACTCTCCGAGCGATTAAGGACATGGGATTTGAGCATATGACTCAGGTGAGATTTCTGCTTGGGCAAGTTATTATCAAATATTCATTAGAAATTATAGTTTGTTGGAGAGAGATTTTCTATGCACAACTTAGTTTTTGCATTCCACGGATCAAATTCAATTTCAAAGGGTAGAACTTTTACTGATAACTATTTAACTTGAGTATGAAAACAGTAAGTATTATTTTGAGGTTGTGATTGGGAATACTGAAAAAATGTTTAGCGCCTGATTCATGGTAATCAATGTTTTGATGTTACCTATAAATAGTTTTTGATGGGGCTCGCTCCACCTCGAATGTGGGTTTAAGTTCTTTTAACGAATAGTGTGCTGGTTGTGAGGCTTCTCTTTTTGATGTGGATATGTTGATGAAACATTCATTTTCATCTCTTAGTTGATTTTAATTTAGTAGAAAAACTGATACATGGACTTGAGCATTCTCAAATTTTCTGATCATTACCAATGCAGATTCAAGCTAGAGCAATTCCACCTTTTCTGGTTGGCAAAGATGTTCTTGGAGCCGCAAGGACTGGATCTGGGAAAACCCTTGCCTTTCTTATACCTGCTGTGGAGCTGCTACATCACATATGCTTTACTCCTCGTAATGGAGCTGGTGTTGTCGTTATTTGCCCAACAAGGGAGCTTGCAATGCAGGTTTGAAAAAATTTCCCCCTAGCCTGCATTTCTCTTTTAATAAGTTAGATTTTGATGTCTTCTCATCTTGATGCTTAAGGAGCTTACAAAAAAAGAAATATAATTACAAAGATACTAAATGATTACGAAGCTATAGTCTCAAAAATTTTCTATTGTCTCACAACTCGACTCGCTCCCTAAATCTATCTTTAACAATTACATTTTTAAAGCTGAAATAAGAACATCATTCACGATCGAGAAGTTCCAACAAAGAAAATAAAAATTTTCGTTTTAAGCCTATTTCAAGCAACAAAGCAACCCAACAAATACAAAATTTCTAAACATGGTAGGAATTCCTCTTTTATAACTATTTCTATGCCACAGGGCTAACCCTTTAAAGCAAACCCAAACGTTCTTTTAATACTCACAAGAAGAAGCATGATCATTAAGAACCTTTTTCTTGTTATTTTCCATCAATATTCCTTCGATCTCAGACCTCTTGATATTAGTACTGCCTGACCTTTTTTTTTCTTTAATAAATCAGACACATGAAGTGGCAAAAGAGCTTCTCAAATATCATTCACAGACACTTGGCCTTGTTACCGGTGGTTCTAGCAGACAAGCCGAGGCTGATCGTATTACAAAGGGGGTCAATCTATTAGTAGCAACCCCTGGTCGACTTCTTGACCATCTTCAGCATACAAAGAATTTTGTATTTAAAAATTTGAAGGTATTGGTGGCCTATTTTTCATTTTCTCGGCATTATTGATGTATTTTGTTGGAAAACATTTCCATTAGTGCCAAGTAGAGAATGGATTCTTAAAAATTTGTTGCTGCTAACTTGTGGTCTGCTCCTCATGTGCTCTGTTTATTTCTTGTGTTTTTTTTGTCCTTAGTTTTTTGGATAAGAAACTACTCCATTGATAATAGACTATATTTTCAATGAAGTTGGTTTTTATCACCTCTAAAGAATTTCAATTTTCATTTGCTATTCTGATTTGCTTTATGTGTAACTCATCAAATTATGTTGGTAATTTACTTGTGTTATCCTCAGTCTTATAAATGTATCGTGACATTCTATTCTCTCTGAACTTTTTTGCAGTGCCTTGTAATTGATGAAGCCGACAGGATATTGGAAACCAATTTTGAGGAGGAAATGAAACAAATTATAAAGCTCCTCCCAAAGGTAATTGACCCTTGTTGTTTGTCGTCTATGATATAATAATTAGGCTTTTTCAAGACTGTCCTGTTAACTGTTAAAAGTTGCCATGTCACCTGTATGCCTTAGCAAATGCGGTGAAATGTAGTTTGGGGTGGGGGCGCGTTATATTTTTTATGGTGGTGGTTATTATTTTCCTCGTGCAATACTGTAATCTGATTGTATTGCAATTTGCAGAATAGGCAGACTGCTTTGTTCTCAGCAACCCAAACACAAAAGGTATGTGTATTGCATTCAACTATTGTTCTTTTCTCTCTTCATGGTTTTTTCCTCCTCTACCATCAACATATATACTATTGTTACTTTATGAGTTTCTATTCCTTCGTTCATTTGGATTGATTTTGCTTCTCTCCCTCCCTGCTGATCTTCCGGAAAAAAAAATACAGGTTGAGGATCTTGTCCGCTTGTCGTTTCAGTCAACTCCTGTTTATATTGATGTGGATGATGGGAGAACAAAGGTAACATGATCTGCTGATCTTTATATGTTTATTTCAAATATTAGTCCTTTTGATTTATTGTTTGACATATTTGTTATTGTAGGTCACAAATGAAGGGTTGCAACAAGGTTATTGTGTTGTGCCCAGTGCTAAAAGATTCATTGTTCTATATTCCTTCTTAAAGAGAACTTTATCTAAGAAAGTTATGGTCTTCTTCTCATCTTGTAACTCTGTCAAATTTCACGCGGACCTTCTTAGATACATTAAGGTTGATTGCATGGATATTCATGGAAAGCAAAAACAGCAGAAGAGAACTTCTACCTTCTTTGCCTTCAATAAGGCTGAGACAGGGATCCTACTATGTACTGATGTTGCTGCACGTGGACTTGACATCCCTGCTGTTGTAAGTCATCCTCTTTTTTAGCTATGTCAATACATTTCTCTGCATGGAAACAATTAATGTTGTATTGCCCTCGCCCTCACTAGCACAAACGCTCGTCGCCACCAAAACTGCCATTTTATCATGAATGGTTGGATGGAGGATCAGATCACCCTTGAATACATTGATTGGATGGATTTTTTTAAAGAAGAGATAATTTCATTGATAAATAAAATAGGTGAAGTTAAAACTCCTAGCACCTGTAGGGGGGTAAGATCTCCAAATTAAAATAAAATGATGAGAGGCTATAAACTTAGATGTGTGTACATTTACACCAGTACATCGCATGAAAAGGAATGAATCCATAAAAACTGTTAAGGTAGATAAAGTCCTCTAAATGTTTTATTTTCTCCGCCTCTTTTAAGGTCAATCATTAATCAACTTACTTCACGTCAACATAGCTACATACCGTTGAATGCTCTCTGATTCTTTTGTAGTGTGTGTGGGTATATTTATAGTGTTTGTTTTGGTATTGTAGCTCCTTTTTAGCTCTGAAGTTCTTCGAGAGTTGCAGTGTGGGAATACTTCTTATAGTGTTTGTTTGACTTCTTTGTAGTGTTTTAGTTCTGTTAGTATAATCCCGAAAGGATGAAGATTAAAACTAACTCTGTTTATTCAATTACTATAGATCTGATAAACATTCGTATCTTATTCATTGCTGGCATCTGAAATCTATTTTCATTAGGAATTGACATATTGAAATATACTTATTTAAGGATAATAATACGTCTTAAAGCCATTTAACTTTGTCTCATTTTTTATGTGTCTCAGGATTGGATTGTGCAGTACGATCCTCCAGATGAACCTAAGGTGCTTGTTGCTTACTTAATAGCAATCACGACCCATTTAATGTTGAGTTTAATGTTGTGTGAAATTATTGGTCTCAGGAATATATTCACAGAGTTGGTCGAACAGCTCGAGGCGAAGGTAGCAAAGGAAATGCACTACTTTTCTTGATTCCTGAAGAGCTTCAATTTCTTAGCTATCTAAAGGTTTGTATTTTCCCTCAAAATTTATATGCACTGTCAGAGGTGTCAGATTATCTTCTTCTCAGGGTTTAGTAGATTGATATCTTGTGTGGTTGATGTTTTATTACCAGGCAGCAAAAGTTCCTGTCAAAGAGTACGAGTTCAGCGATAAAAAACTGGCCAACGTGCAGTCTCATCTGGTAAATTCATTTCCCATTTGTTCTCAGCAGTAACACTGTAGCACAAGCACATAACTTCGAAATATTGAATGATCCAGGAGAAGCTGGTCGGCAGTAATTATTATTTGAACCAGTCGGCTAAGGATGCTTACAGATCCTATTTATTAGCTTACAATTCACACTCTATGAAAGATATCTTCAATGTCCACCGCCTTGACCTGCAGGTACTGATCTCAATTTCTTTTCATGCATCCCATCCCACATATTGAAATCCAGAACGTGCCTCTATGTACACATCCATTTTCTTCTGAAATCTTTGTGAGGAGCTTCATTAACTTATAAATTTTGTTGGATACAAGTTTTCTGTGCTGGAATTCGTGTAACTCGATTCGGGAAGCTTCCTATATTTACATTGTAGTTGGTATGTGAACAGGGTATTGCTGCTTCATTCTGCTTTTCCAACCCTCCAAAGGTCAACCTTAACATCGACAGTAGTGCCTCAAAATTCAGGAAGAAAACGCGTAAAGTAGATGGGAGCAGGAACCGATTCAGTGAGAGCAATCCTTATGGGAGAAACAATGCGGCGGATGATGAGAGACAATTTGTAAGATACTAGCTGAACCTATCCATCTATGAATGACTTCACAAAAAATTATTATTCTTTGCTTAGCAAATTTTTATTTTTAGATTAAGAATTTGTAGGACGAGGATTTGAACCTCACATTTTTAGTCGAGAGTATATGTTTTATAGCAGCTCAGCTACGTAGGCCTGTAATGATTCATTTATATGATGATTGTAACCAAATGAGATTTTATATCCTACTATTTGTATGAGAGAAATTTTTTTAATTACTCGGATTATATAATTGACTTTTGTTCATAGCTTAAGCTTAAGCTACCGTTCTTAATGTTACCCTTGTTTTTTTTTCTTTTTTTTTTTATATAATTTCAAATGGATTTGAGAGTAATTTAATTATTTATCAAATTGAATCCAATGATTAATACGTGATTATTGCGTCACCAAATAGATAATTATTTATTAATTAGAAAAGAAAGCTCTCTAGAGTTTCTCAATGGCTGCTTATTAGCCACTCCAACTAATTAAATGTGTAACAACTAAGAATATTATGATTTAGACAGAAGTCATATTTAAATGTGTAACTACTACGCATATTTGGACCAATTATCATGTGCCACGTTTCCACTACTTTTCCATTGGGTGTGATGTCCATCCCAAATATTTGGCCTGGAATTGCACGCAATTGATACGACACCGTTGGATTTTGCCACGTGTTTTATTTGGCATTTATTGTCTTTTATGATAATGGAATTCCGATTGCTTCTTAAATCATAACAAACTTAACTGCCTCGCAAATGTCTACGTCTGTGCCACGTCATCGTCTTCGTCAGCACACCAAAAATCGACTCTTTTATTATTTTCAGGATATTTTATGGCGTGGATAAATCTAAAAAAAATATTCATATTAAATTAAATTAAACAATATATATATGTTAAGTTTTTCAAAACAAAATTTTGAAAACACCCCTAAAAAAATATATAAGAAAAGAAAGAAACGGTTTAAAAAACTAAATAGTTAAAATTTAATAAATACTAAAAGGATAGAATTAAAATGGTAAATTAATATATTATTTTAAAATTATTATTCATGTGTTCTTGAAGTGGGATTTTTCAATGCATCAGTTGGAAGGAATATTCCAATGGTCAGCTTGACCGTATTTTCTGAAAGGAGTCAAAATAAGAGAAAAATAACTATTGATATTAATTAACATTTGCTTACACCAAAAAACAAATTATAATAATAATAATAATATTTTGGATAATCTTCAATTTAATTTTTTATTTTTTATTTTTGAAAGTTTCAATTTTATTTTTTTTAATTAGGAATTTAAAAATGTAATTTCCTAAGACAAGGGCGGTTTGAATGGAAGGTCAAAAGCAGCGGCTGATTCAAAATCGGGTTGCCTTTTCCCCATTTCTCCACCCAACTTCCATCTTCCCTCCCATCTTACGTCTCGTCTTCGTTTCTCTCTCTAGATTCTCTCTTATATAACCCCGCCAGGTAGTGAGAGGTTTCTGGTGTACATCATTCGGAACGATTCTGCGAGTTAGGGTTTTGGAGATGGAGAATTGGAAGCAGAACACTAGGATGGAGAAGATCGGAACTCCGTTTCCTGTTCATAGCCAGGTGAGGAAGATCAAGGAGGAATCGGAGATGATCATCGATTGGAGACCGGGACAGCCAGAGATTAAACCGCCGCCGGCCGCCTTTCGCGAGATCAATCGCCAGATCTCTCGCTCTCCGCTTGGAGTGTCTGGCCGGCCGATTTCGGTTGGGGAATCGTAGAAGGAGATTATTGATGATTGTTCTCTTTTCTGATACTACATAGTTCTGTTCTTTTTCTTCTTCTTTTGTAAATAGTTCGTTGTTTTTTTTCTAATAGAGAGATTTCTGGATTTTGAATATTGCTCTTCTTTCTCAACTCTCGAGTTCATGAATATCTGAAGTATTCATGAATGATTTTTGGATTCTGTTGAGATTCGTCATGATTTAATTATGAATTTCAAAGATTATTGATCTTGGAAAGGAATTTCTTGCTAATATTCCTTCACATACACAATCATACGAAATGAAAACTGTTCTGTAATGATACACTTATTCGAGGGAAGGAGAAAGAAAGAACAAAAGAAACTGAACTCGGATGCAACAAAGACACGATTCTGAGTTATTTCTACTGCCAAGCCAAAGCAAAGGCTTGATCCATGTACTGTATTAAGCCCTTCAGTTTGAAACCATACTCTCAGTTTCCTTGACAAAGCCATCGCCAGTCCAATCTTTATCAGATTGCAGACCCTTCTTCACAGCTTTTCTCTGCTCGATTGCTTCCCGCTGCCTCCGAACCAAATCCGTGTGCGTCGTGAAGTATGGAAGGGAAGCCCTGTTTCACCGGGAATTTGTTAGTGTGACCGATGTTCGAGGGGCTCGAGTCGTGTTCTATTAAGAACTGCTATTGGTTTCAAACTCCAAACTTACCCTCTGAAATCTTCAATGGATGAGAAGTTGTGGAGTTTCATGAAGTCCTTCAGCTCAGCACAGAGTTTCTTAACGAGGCCATAACCATGCATCATCACTCCCGTGCACACCTGCATATGAATGCAACTTCCTCAGCATACAACAATGCAGTATAGTACACCATTACGAATATCCTAAAACAAAAGGACGACCGAGCCATTACGACCAGTTTCGTTAAATGAACTAGTCGATTTCGCAACATAAATCATAGGTTATAATTTGGTGAGATCTCACATCGATTGGGGAGGGAAACAATTTTGTGAGATCTCGGGGAACGAAACATTCCTTGTAAGATTGTGGAAACCTCCCCGTAATGTGTTTTAAAAACTTGAGGGGAAGCCCAAAAAAGAAAGCCTGGGAAACCCGAAGGGAAAACCCAAAGATGACAATATCTGCTAGCGATGGGCTTGAACTATTACAATACTAGAGCTCGTCATCGGGCGGCATGCTAGCAAGGATGTTGAGCCCCCAATGGGGATGGTAAGATCTCACATCGGTTGGAAAGTGGACGTTCCATATAAGGTGAGGAAACCTCTCCCTAACACGTTTTAAAACCTTGAGGGGAAACCCAGAGGAGAAAGCTCAAAGAGGACAATATCTACTAGCGGTTGGGCTTAGGCTGTTAAAATGGTATCAAAATCAATCATCGGGCGGTGTGCCAGTGAGGATGTTAGCTCCCAACGGAGGTGGATTGTGAGATCTCACATAGGTTGGAGAAGGGAACGAAACATCCTTTATAAGGGTTTAGAAACCACTCCCTAGCAGACGCGTTCTTGGGCGGTTACAAATTTCTCATTGTACCTGAACAGTGTTTGCTCCGAGTAGAATAAACTCGGCAGCATCTCCACCGGTTTCGACACCTCCAATGCCAGAAAGAGAGTAGTCTCCATCATTAAATTCCGCCTTCATCATTTTTGCGATGTTCAACACTTTACCAAGAGCAATAGGATGAACTGCCTTGGAAGAGTAGCCTCCTGGAGTTGAGTACCTAACAACAAACAGATTGAACCACATCCAATATTTCAGCTGAATGCTAACTAACACAATCATTCCATATCGACGATTTCAAAAGTTCGAATTAGCAAACCCCTCAACACAAGGCTCGGGGCGTAACGTCTTGAGATCGATTCCCATTACACTCATGATCGTGTTGATAGCCGCTATCCCCTCGCATCCCGATTTCAGAGCCACCCGAGCAGGCTTTACAAAAGAAGAATCGTAAGTTGCATCAGTTCATACAACCATAGATACTAATTCAAATACAAGAACAGCAAAACTACCTGTGAAATATCAGTGATATTGGGAGTCATTTTAGCCCAGACAGGGATTGTAGCTTTAGCATTTATCCATCCACAAACCTCTTCCAAAAGCGCACAATCTTGCCCGACCGCAGCACCCATTCTCCGTTCGGGCATGCCGTGAGGGCACGAGAAATTGATTTCAAATGCATCCTGAAAGAAAGAGACATAAACGTTCAATGACATGAACTGTTCTTGGTAATAAACGCATGGTAAAGAAGGCATAGATCGTAGGCATACAACTCCGGTTTGTTCGACTCGATCGATAAGTTCTTCCCAAGCAGCTTTGTTATACTCCTCCATTATTGAAGCAATGAGAATCCTATCAGGATACTCCTCCTTCAATTGCTTAAACTCTTTCAACATAGTTTCAAGGGGTCTGTCGCTTATCAATTCAATGTTCTCCCACCCAATGATCTGCCCTTTTGCAGAGCCGTTTGAATCTGCTCGAAGCCGGGCATATCTAGGCGTTACATTTATTACTTTGGCTGCATCTAGTGACACCTAACAGAGACAAAGATCCATGAAAATACAGGAAATGGACATGCCAGCCAATGAAGAACAGATAGCAAAACCAGTAATGTTCTTCCAGCCAATCAAGAACAGATAGCAGAACCAGTAATGTTCTTCCAGCCAAAGATTAATCTAAATATCTCTTTCTCCAAACACGAATCATATTCCTAATCAAGAACAATCTCTAAGATGAAATCACAGATCAGTAGATTACACTAACAGCAACCAATTTGCCATTCAAAAATCAAATTATAAGCTAACGGAATCAACAGACTACGAAATCGAAATCAAAAGCGAGAGAACTTACAGTTTTGGCGATCACAGCGCCCCAACCTTCATCAAATGCCCTCTTCATAACCGTATAGTTAGTTCCCGGCGGACCCGACCCAATTACAAACGGGTTAGGCATGTGCAACCCATTAACCGTCACACTGAGATCAGGCTCCGCCTGACCTTCACCGGCGGCGACCACTCTGAACCCAACTCTATTTCGACGAGTCAAACGCATCCGAGACCGATTCAGCGCGAGCTCGGACATTGGGTTTGTAGTTCTGATCTGGGTAAAATCCAACGACGCCATGGATCAAGAAATTCAAGCTCTCTGCAACAGAAAATCCTGTAATGGAACAAAAAAATGATGTAGAAGAAGAAGAAGAAGATGGGTAACTCAATCTGAGATGTAATATTCGATCAAGAAAGCTGGAAAGGTGGGGCATGAAGAATCATCCTCGTCAATTTCCTTCTGGATTTATAAACGTATTCAATTTAATAATGATGAATGAATCGGATTAATAATTTAATAATTTATTTTAAATAAGCAAGTAAATTCGGTAATTAATTTAAATAGTTTATCTCACTAACAGGTGTTTCTTTGGATTGTAACTAGGAATGGAGATAAATAAATAAAAAGTAAGAGATTTATTAATATAAACCGACTTAAAATAAATTATTTAACCCGACAGCCCAATTCTACGAGAAATTGGGCCGGGCTTAATTCTAAATTTGGCCCAGTGGGCCCAAATGCAAGATGGTCTTTTCTTGACGCGGGCTGGCCCATTAGCGAATCAGAGAGTTAAATAATATCCTTTTTTTTTTCAAGAAATTAACGTTAATTTTAAAATAAATAGATATTTTTCTTAATAAAAATATATAAAAATCGTTAAATAGTAATAAAAAAGGAGTGGGGCGGGAAATTTCTAACAAAAAGGGAGGGAAAACGTCATGTCGGATCTTGCCATGACGTCAGCAGCAAGTTGCTAAAACGGCAGCCCAATTACCGTTTTGGACACATGCTCATCTCCCTTCACTTCCACACGTCTATATTTAAACACTAAAAAAATTAATTTAAAAGGTTAAAATATAAAATAATTATTTTCTGAATTTTAATTGGAAAAATTAATGTTTATAATTTAATTTATTGATTTAAAAGGATAGAGATTAAAATGACTATTTTAATGATAAGAAATAAAAATGAGAAGCTCGTGCTAAAAAAACTATTTAATTTAGGTACAAAATTGACAATATAATAGAAAAAAAAATTAATTTTTTTAAATAAAAAAAAAGGCTGTCTAAATCAAATTGATAATAAAAATGAATAAATATTTATCCCACTTTACAAGTGGCATGGAGGCGTTGAGGAGGTTCATGCACCCTTCACATCCACCTGTAAATATTATATTTAAATTTAATTATGTCACTTTTCGTAATTTTGTTTTTATTATTTTAAAATTCATTGGATAAATCGCTTTCTTTTTACTTTCCAATTTCCCTTTTCCGAAGCCTTCCTGAACCATCCTTTTGTCTTCCTTGAATTAAACTTTATCCTCTGTTATCCACTCACACCGTAATTTGAAATTTCAACCAATCGCTATCTCCCACGTCACACACATATTCTTTTTAATTCTTTCTTCCTTAAAATTCCACCAACTAAATAATTATATGTTATAATATAATTAATCAATATTATCTATTTTTCAAAATTTTGAAGAACGAGTGTGCAAGTTTTCAAAATATTTAGATGGATGAAATTAAATAATTATAAAATTCGTTTGTTTTTAAGGGAATTATCAGCTCTCCACAATAATATAATATTGACTTTGAGTATAAGCTTTCATGGCTTTGCTTTGGGCTTATTCAGGAGGACTCGTACTAATCTAGAGAGTATTAGTTGATCATATAAACCTATGATTATTCTATAAATTAGCCGATGTGGGACTTTCATCATCGAACATGATCAAATGATGAATCCGTAAGAAAAGTGAAGAATTTAATTTAATTTATTTATTTATTGTTATGAGCACATGGGAAATGTGAGCTTAATTACGATTTTTCCAAAAATGTTTGGCTAAAAGAAACGGGCTGCCTGTGGCTGCCGTACCCTTTTCAACGGCAACGCAATGGAATCTTCCTTTTTTTCAACACTAAAAAAAAAAGAAAAAGAAAAAGAAAAGATTTTCACCTTTATTTATTTGATGTATAATTAAGGTTTATTTGTAATTTAAGTAAAATTAAATAATATTTAATCTGCCTCGTACAACTAACCCTCCACTGCCACTAGAAAATTAGAAGAAATATAAAATCTCAACTATTTAAATATTTTATTCAATAATGTTAGGTAGATGATATAAATTTAAGTATATGATGTCAATAACACGTGGATATGTTTGTATTTTTAAATGTGGATATATATTTGTTCAACCTTGAAAAAAAAATTATCATGTTGGAAGTTAATTAAATTTTGAAGAAAATGATTTCAACAATTAGTTTTATTTGTTTAAGAACTGATGGATCAATTTGTTGTTCGATTTTAGAACAGAATGAGTAACAAGGGGATGTTAATAATGAGTCTCTGGATATTGTTTGTGTTCAGCATAAAAAATGAACTGATATTTTCTGAATTGAGGAAAATTTTTAAATAGAACGGAACAAAAATTCTCCGAAATTCTGCAGCGGATTGGATTCGACTGATTGGAGACTCAGAGATTCAGAGAAGCTACAGATTCAAATGGAAAAGAAAAGGAGTATATACAAAAAGTTCATCGGAATCCCGCTAGTTTATGTACAGATCTCAGAATTTGGCCGGATCTTTAAACTTCCAGGGATTCGAATCCTTCATTCCACCGCCGATTCACCGATCAGATCTCGATTCCTTGCACACAAACGGATGTGTCAACAGCTGCGCCACCGTCCACCTCTTGCTCGATTCCTTCTGCAAGCAACACTCGACGAAGCTCCGAAAGTCCTCCGACGCGTCCTCCGGCAGCGTCGGCGGCTCGCCGAAGCAAATCGCACACATCAGAGTCGCCCAATCTGGTCTCTGACCAGGCGGTAGGAAAGGAAAATGACCTAAATAGAGCTCCAGAAGAGTAAGCCCCAAACTCCATATGTCGCCGGCGTAACCGTTGTAATTTCCGCCGTAAGTGTCCGGATCGAACCGCTCCGGACTCATATAAGCGCAGGTTCCGACGTAGGAATTGCAAGCATCCAAAGTCCGGCACATGATCTTACTAACTCCAAAATCGGCAATCTTAACCTCCATATTCTTATTCACCAACAGATTCGACGGCTTAATATCCCGATGAATGATTTTGTGAGAGTGAAGATAGTGAAGTCCGTTAAGAACCTGACGCGCGACGTGAGCGAGCGTCGCTTCTGACAACGTCGAGTTCTTCTTCAAGAGCGAATCAAGCGATCCTAGATCCATATATTCCATCAAAATCGTAACATCTCCAGACGGCTTCTCGAAGATTCCATGGCACTGAACGACGTAAGGAGAGTCAGTACGGCGGAGAATCTCCATCTCTCTGAAAACCTGGCGACGAACGGTTGGATCGCAGTCGCCGTGGACAACCTTAAGAGCGTAGGTTGCGGAGGTACGCTTGTGGCGGACTTTGTAGACGGTGCCGCCGTTGCCATGGCCGAGGACTTGAAGCTTTTCGAGGTCAGAGGCAGCGGGAGCGGCGGCGGCGGCTGTGGCGGCAGGAGCAGCAGCGGAGGATGGAGGGAGAGGGAGAGGGAAGCGGGGACGGCAGTCGGAGAGGTCGGGGAGGCGGAGGTTCAACTGGCGGCGATCACGAACCAGAGCCATTAGAGAGATGGAGGGATTTGGATATGGAGGTTTGGATAAAAGTGAATGGAGGAAAGGATTTGCTTAAATAAGTGAGAAGGGGAAGCACGTGGGATAGTGGTAGAAATGGAGAAAGGAAGTTACCAGGATGAACACGACTGTGGGCCCCCCTTTGCTGCATGCGGAGCGGACGGATGCAAGACGGGCGTCTTTTTATTTAAAATTAAAAAAACTATTCATTTAATTAATCCCATATAATATTGGTTAAATTTTAAATTTTAAATTTAATTTATTATTATTATATAGAAATGAATAAAGTATTTAAAATTCAACAAAAAAACAGTTATTAAGTTAGCCAACTACATTCGTCCATGTGACTAAGCAGGCCAAAGGCACCCCACATCATTTCTTTTTTAAAATATAAATTATGTGTAAAGTGTGAAAATCTAAAAATTATTATTAACTAAAAAATAATCATGAAAACAACAAAAATCGCCACATAAATAAAAAGAAAAAAAAAATATGATGCGCATTTTTTATTTATTTAGTGAGCTGTCGAAATTTGCACACAAAATAATTTATTTCCCATTTTTTTCCTCGAGGGCTTTTTCGTCTTTATGCATTTATCTTTTTGCACGAAAAATAAGAGAGGAAATTACCATTTGATTTTTAATGTTTTAATTTTTTTTAGCCCATTTTGTGACATTTTTAACCTCCAAAAAAATGTTACGGTAAATAAATAGAAATCATTGGAAAAACAAAAGGAAAGGATAAGATCCCGTAAGGTTAATTTTGTCAATTAATTGAAGCCGCCGCCGACATTTTTCTAGAATCCACCGTATTTTGCTCCGCTGAATATTAAAAAAAATCCAAATTCCATAAAATATTAAAATCCATTGGCAAAATAATAATTTAATTACATAATCAAGATACAAAAATACCCTTTAATTCCCACGTATTAAAATGGGATTTTAAAAAAAAAAAAACTAAGATTCCAAAATTGCCCCTGTGAAAATGCTTATCTATTTATCCTTACGTTTAATTTTCACTTTTTTTTGTAATATTTTTAAAATATTAAAAAATAAAATATAATGAAATTAGATCGTCTAATTTCGTATCACTGAACAGCTTTAAATCAATAAGATCATACCATTATAGATCGTTGTCCTTATCAGACAAAAAATTTATAAATAAAAATCGGAGGGAGAAAAAGACGTGACGTGGAGAAGACAAAGAAAGATGCTTCTTCCCTAGTGGAGGCTTCTCTATATACAAGTTGGAGGGGGAGGGTCCTCACCCCCAAAGTTGACACTTTTTCTTTACATCTTCCTAAAAAAGATGAAATTTTTTTAAAGATGGGTAGCTCAAGGGGTGCCCATATGGGTACCCTCCAATCATTAATTTCATATGCAATTCTCAACCACCAACTTGCTTTGCCCGTTCCAAATAATACTCAATCCATCCTACTCACGTCCCATCAACTCCTTAAACAACTCATGACTTCCTAAAATTGTGAGGCTGACCGCCATATATAATTGGCTAAAGTAGATAATATCTAACGACCCCAGATCTACCGCTAGCAGATATGGTCCTCTTTGAGCTTTCCCTTTCGAGCTTCCTCTCAAGGTTTTAAAACGCGTCTGCTAGAGAAAGGTTTCCACACCCTTATAAGTGGTGGTTTGTTCTCCTCTCCAACTAATTTGGGACATCACGATCCACCCCCCTTCGGGGCCAGCGTCCTTACTGGCACACCACCTCGTGTCTACCCCCCGTCGTGGAACAGCGAGAAGGCTGGCACATCGTCCGGTGTCTGGCTCTGATACCATTTGTAACGACTTAGATCCACCACTAGCAATATATTGTCTTCTTTGGGCTTTCCCTTTCCGGCTTCCCCTCAAAGCTTTAAAACGCGCCTGTTGGGAGAAGGTTTCCACACCCTTATAAATGGTGGTTTGTTCTCCTCCTAATCGTCTAAAGTCTACCACTACACAGTATTATGTGATGTCCCAATATCTGTGTAGTGGTAGACTTTGGACGATTACAGTATCATAGCCAGACACCTGGCGGTGTGCCATCAAGGACGCTGGGTCTTCAAAGGGGTGGATTGTGAGATCTCACATCAGTTGAAGAAAATAACAAAACATTCTTTCTAAAAATGTGGAAACCTATCCGTAGTAGACTCGTTTTAAAATCATAACGCTGACGACGATACGTAACGGGTCAAAGTGGATAATATACGTTAGTGGTGAGTTTGAGTTGTTACAAATGGTATCAGAGCCAAACACTGAGCAGTGTGTTAGTAAGGACGTTGGCTCCCAAAGAGAGTGATTGTGAAATCCCACATTTTAATTTGTATGATTTTAACGGTCTATTATAGTTTACTCACCTAATATTAATTATTATTATTGTAAAAGTGGATCGTTTCAAATTTAAAATAATAATTCAAATGAAGAATCATGAATCGGCACATAATTTAATTTATTAACAATATTGTAATAACGGACCTTAATGATTCAAATATAATTTATCTGACAAACGAACTTATAAAACTTACCATATAAAAATATGCGTGACATTAATAATAAATTAGTATAAGTTGGTGGTTAAATAAATAAAATTATACGGGGGCTAGTGCTGGAATAATGCAAAAATTAGTTAAGAATTAATTATTAAACGAACAAAACCAAGGCGGCTGGCTGCATTCTTAATTAGTATGAAACTCCACTGCCCCCACAAAATGATTGGGTTCCACCACCAGTCTCGCCTTCTTTTCTTCTTCCAAATAATTTATAATATCATATATGTATATATATATATATATATATATAGTCGTTTTATCTTTTGTCTTGTTTATAAATTAAATATCTCAATTTTTTGGGCGCTAGCCAAAATTGAAAATATTAAAATATAAAAATGTTATTGGGTGATTATTTTATAATTTAAAAATTAATTTAGAGTTATATTGATTTACTAACATCAATTATTAGTTTAAAATTTTAATTGATTTATAATTTAGGGGTACAAATTAATATTGTCATTTGAATAAAAAATAAATTTTTTTGTTAATTAAAATTATTGAAATCATGGGAGATAATTTGAAAAATTAAATGACAAAAAAAAAAAAGTTAGGGGTACAAATTCCAATATGGATGATTTAATTGTCAAAATGTAAAATATTAATTATTTATTTTTAAACATTAATAATTTAAAATGAAAAAATTACAGTCTTAGATTTATTTTGCTTTGCTAATTTTTATTTATTCATCAAAATAGTGTTAAAAATAAAGAAAAAGGATTTGGATCCGACGGGTCCAATTCGGATCCTAAAGGGTAAAACGGGCAAATAAATAGAATCACGCAAGGTAAGATGCGAAGAAAATCAGAATTATTATAGTACGCCACGTGTCTATATCTTGAAGATCGGACGACTACTAAAGCTTCGGTATCAACCAACGCCATGGAAGCGAAGCATGGAATTATGATTTTTTTATTATATTTTTTTTCTTGTTTATTAAGAAAAGAAAAATAAAAGAAAAAGAAAAAGAAAATTGTTTCTTGGATCGAAGGAGAAGAGAGAGGGAAGAGAAGAAGCAAAGGAACTCGGTGGGTCTGTATTCTGTCGTTTGTTTTTCGTTGAAAATGGCGTTGCAGTGGATGCTATTGGCTTATACGGTGGCAGTGGAGGCTGCCATCGCCATTCTGCTCACGATTCCTTCACCGAAGCTGCTCAAGCAACGCTTCGTCTCTTTGATTTCACTCATTCTACAGCCTGCACTCTTCGTTGTGCCCTTCGCCGGCTTTCAGATTCTAGGTTTTTTTTTCCCCTTTACTTGCGTTTCTTCTTTTATTTTGATTTTTTAATTTTGTAATTTCATTTTGCTATCCGATGTTTTCAAATCTCGACTGGAACCTGAGATCGGACCTTGATTCTTGTTTCTTTTCATTCTTTTATTTGTGATTTCTTGTTGTACTTTGTAGATATCTACTGGAAGAATGAGCACCGATTGATGTGTACATCTGAGATCTGTACAGCTGCCGAGAGAGATCGATATGAGAAATCTGTAAGTATAAATGTCTAGTTGAGTTTTTCTAATTTGTAGTGTTTTTCATTGAGTTCTCAAAGATTTAGATATAGATTATCAGACTGTTTTATTCCGTTAATGCTAGCAATCGTTAGGATTTCAAAGGATTAGAAATTGATGGAGTCTGGATACGTCTACGAAATAGATTTATTTAACCCCTTCGAATTAGCAATTGTTAGAGTTCTGGAAGGAGAGTGCGTAATTGGGGCAACTTGCCCCGACAATTGAACGTCAGGAACTCTTTCACAATATAATTTCATATTGCAGTTTTTAGTATGACGATGGGAACTTACCAGTTCTGAATGTTTACCAAGTAGCTTCTATTTCCCTTTCCCTATCCCTATTCGCATTCTTCTATTTTCAATTAAGGAGGTCTATTATCCTACAGATAGGAGAAGTTTTCCTATTGTTCTTGATCATGATCCTACTGATGTAAATTCCTTCTCGTACAAGCGAGATTGAATCCTATAAACCTTTTGGAGAGCAAAAGATTAAAGTGTTAGAACAACTCTTTTAATTATATGATTCTACTCATAGTTTTATATGTTGTTGTATGTGAATCTGGTTTGATGATGCCCTATATCATTTTCATATGATTTCATTGGATATTGAAATTGTTGGGGAGGTGGAGTGGAAATGATGTGATGGTTAAAGTTCAAATCATTAGAAATTCAAATGTCACATACGCTTGACCGAGACTGAGTAGGGTACATCAAAGATTTGGTAATGATTAGAACTTGGTGAACAACGTAGTGGTTGTCATAGATTTGCTTGTCAAAATAAGAAGTCGGTGTGTAGTGGGATGGGTGGGTGGGTGGGTGGCTGAGGGGTGGGTTGGAAAAAACGAGGTAAATTAGAACTGAACCAAGTAATTAGCAATGTGTTGCAGTTTCTGGATGAGGTAGGTAAGCGTCTTTCTAAGTGATGAATTCTCTCCCCAAGTAATCCTTTTCTTCTAAAAATGGTCGCAATCTACTAGAAATAGATGGCCTTAGGACGCCTTCTTATTGGATGATCATGAAACTTCCCAAAAATCGAAATTCTTGATCAATGGAGGAACAATATCACCATTTTTGTTCAATAAGATACCAAAGTGGATGATTGACTCATTCCATACGAGAAATAATCGTTGGAAATCCTTTGATAACACGGATTCCTATTTCTCAATGATATCCCACGATCAAGACAATTGGCTAAATCCCGTGAAACCATTTCATAGAAGTTCATTGATATCTTCTTTTTATAAAGCAACTTGACTTCGATTCTGGAATAATCTACAACACTTCTGCTTCTATTGTAAGGGATGGAATAATCTACATCACTTCTGCTTCTATTGTAACAAAAGATTCCCTTTTTCTACAAAAGATTCCCTTTTTCTTTTATGAAGTTAGTTGCTCACTCCCCAAAACCTCTGGTCACAGGAAAGGAACTTGAGAAGGCCCTAGTCAAAGGAATCCTTTTTATCTTCTCTCGATCCAATTTGAAGACCCATCTCTCTCTTCACTTTGTAGCGTGAAATCATTCATAATATAAATAGGGTTCTTTCTCATCTGCAATCTGGAAAACCTCACAACATGGTTGGGTCTCCCTTTAATCTAAAAAACCCCCTTACGTGGAAGGTTCTGACTTGTATGCAACATAAAAAACACACGATGTATATGGTTCCTTTCATATGCAGTCTAATAGGTTTGCCCCCTTCTCTAATCTATGAAAAGGAAAGCATGACGCAGGAAGGATGGTAGAATTTAAGGGGGCCAAAAAAAAAACTCGTCTCAAATATAAGATGGGGATGTTTATTCAATGAACTTACCTTTTTCAAAAAATAAAAATTAAATACAATCTATGCGGCTATGCTGAAGCACCATATATTCATTGGTGATTTCAAAACCACCCCTATTTCACCATATTCTTGAATTTTGTTTTGATTATCACGATCTCTGATCTGAACATAAAAACAAGGAGTTTTATTGTTGTGCAAAGTCTCCCTGATTTTGGTATGCCGGTAGTTTATGTCTGTGGGAGCATACTTTACAGGAGATGTACATAGGCAGTAGAGAGATCCCCCACCTCGATTCCCGTCCTGTTAGCATCTCTAATCCGAGATAAGGGATTACTCTGTTAGGTCTTTTTGTTCCGGAGCTGGCCGGTAATGAACCTACTTACCTTGCTTGTGGACCATCAGCTGAGCTAACCCTGGTTCTATTAGTTGGTGGTTGCTACCAAGTCGATTTCTTTATGCCTATCAATGAGAATGCACGTCGTTCCCTTTTATCTGTGTATCAAACAGAATTGCCTTCCTTCCCTGATCTCTACTATGCTATACTATTTTTTATCTTCTTTACTTGCTCCCAATTCTAACAAAGAATGGTTATTATTCAGATCTTTAAAGCTCAGAGGAATGTGATTCTGTGTGTTTGTGCATGCCTTCTCTACTGGTATGTTACAAGAAAATCCTTCTCATCAGAAGCTTTCTCTCGTGTCAACTTCTTACCATCTAAACTACTTTAATGGATCATATGCATGCAGGTGTATCTACCGCATTTGCAAATACAACAAAGACATTGAAAGTTTGGAGGAGGTAGAAAAGAGATACAAAGACCAGTAGGTTTGAGGACATGTGTAATCAATCTCCCGTTACATGTGGGAATGGCTTTCTCCTCACGGCTGTATGATTGATACTTGAATCTTTGTTTGTACTTGGAGTATGAGAAGTATAATGTTATTAGAACACCATAACTTTGTCGTTTTAGCAGCGTTGGTCAAATATTCAGCTCTATGGGTATGGGACTAATCCATAGTTTTGTCAATTTGGAAGTGGGATGAAATTTAATTTGGTTGACACGTGCAATCAAATTAATGAAATGAATCATGGATTTTCTTGACCTTTTCTGCTGTGGAAGCTCATGTCGGCAAAAGGATATTTGATTTGGTGGGATTCTGGTGTGAAAGAAATCTTGGATAATGTGATAAGTGACATTTTTAAATAAACATCCGTAAATGGGTTATGTCCAAATTTGGTGAAAATTATTATTATTTTTTTTTTTGCATATTTAGGCTTGAAGATTGTTGTTTATTATTATTTTTTCTTTTAGTTTTCCTTCTTAGAACTTCGGTTTGCAAGGTTGTATCAGGTCAATTTATGGTAATTTTAGTTCGACTTAAATTCCATTTTTTACGATATAATACTAACATTAGTCATCAAATAATGTAATTTTAAAATACAATCCCGAGATATAGTTTAAGATATAGTTTATAAAATTAGGGTAGTGCAAACTATAGGTAGAAGTAGGATAGATTTTACGAGGTTAGAATTCACGTGCTTATTCACTATTGAGAGTTGGATGGACAAGTGAAGAATTAGATTTTACGAGGTTAGAATTCATGTGCTTATTCACTATTGAGAGTTGGAAGGACAAGTGAAGAAATGCGAACATTGTGCCTAGCCCAAGTCTACTGTTGCTAGTAGGTATTGTTGTAACCGTTCAAGTTTACTAGTAGGTATTGTTGTAACAGTTCAAGTTTACTACTAGTAGGTATTGTCTAATTTCTACGTCTTTAAAGAGAGTGTTCGTTCCCTTCTCCAACCGAAACCGATGTAAGATCTCATAGTCATGTTGTAGGCTAAATATTGTGGCATGTCATGTATGCGAGTTACCTCAAATCAAATATTATATACACAATTTATCTTTGTTTAAATCCCGTAAAAATGTATTGAATTTTTAAAAAATTCACTGACAAGATAATATCAAACTTAGAGACAAATTTAATTTAAATAAAACATAAATATCAACTAAAGCAACATATTAATTTTAAATTAATACTTTTTCCGAAAATTTCCGAACGTGAAACATGAACCCATAAATCGTATATTTAATTTGCATTTTTGGATGTAATATAAAAAGCAGCCTTTGTGAAACGCGTTACCAGTTTCTGCTCGGATTCGAAATTCGGCTCTGGCACGTCTGTTCGTTTCCTCCATTTCTTCTCTGCGTGACGATCTGACCACCCCTTCATCTAGGGTTTCGCCTCCGGTTTGTGATCGTCCTCTTTGCATCTGTAAAATTCTTTATTTGAATCTATTTTGTATTTTTGGCGTCTATTTGCGGCTTTTTGTTTTCGTTTTTTTTTCTTTCAGAATTTGATTTCTGGTGGTAATTTGGATTGTTCTATTTGCAGGGCTCGCTTGGAAGCTGTCATGGCAAGTGTGATTAGATATCCTGTTGGAGCCTTCGCTCGCTTAAATTCCACCGGCGGATCCGAAATCTACGGCAACGGTCTTGGTTTTGTGCGCCTTCCGTCCCTATTTCATGTCCCTATTCGGGTAAGAATGTTTCTCTTTGTACCTTCCCCGAATTTCTTCTTTCTATTTTAACTTGATTGATTTGGAGAGTTCTAATTTGATGTTTGATTTAACCACCATGAGCTGGGTTGGTAGTGGTCGATAAGGATCATGAAAATAGTCAATGCTTAGAGGGCAAGGTTCAAGCTAGGTGGCCTTCCCCTGAGATAGTTAAGGGGCGCACAAACTTGCCCCCAACAGTCACAGATTTTAATAGAAATTCGATGATTACTTTCTGAAACGGCCAGTTCTTGGTGCTTTGATTTTGTTATGTTTGCAATTTTGCTTTTAGACTTGTTTGTTTGGGGTCTTAATGACGATCGGTTCGTTCTATTAAGAGAACCTCTTCATGACTTGTACTGTATATGAATCAGTGATGTGATGTAAACTTTTCGTTATTGCACTAAGTTTCCACTTTATGCCCTGCAAAATTCAGTTTCTATGTTTTAAACATCAACGCTAAATTTGTATGGCTATTTTCATGCGCAAGTATTTTTGTTCAGGCTCTGTAAATGGCTCAGTTCATATATGATGTTTTTAACATAAATTTACCGATAGAAACATATTATAGTGACGAGGGAAAATATTATCATTTAGTGGTAAAGTTTTTAGAAATTTAATCTGTACTCTAGAAAATGTTAACATTTCACATTAGTGTGAGTTTTTTCTATGGTGTTGCATATTACATTTGAGTCTGAGTTTGATTTGGAGTGTGCTATTTTTGTCAACTTTCAAATTTTCAAATCGAAATACATATCTATTTCTTGTTAATTATGTAAATGCTTATTCTTTTAATCGGTTGTGGCAGCTATGCCCTCGGGTTTCTTATTCCAAACTCTGGAACAAGAAATTGGGATCCAGAAATGGTAGAAGCACGACAGTTAAAGCATCCATCGATGCAGAGTCATCTGGATCGGATGAGCCTATTGCTCCTCTTCAGTTGGAGTCTCCAATTGGGCAGTTTTTGACCCAGATCTTAGTTAGCCATCCTCATCTTGTCCCTGCTGCTGTTGAGCAACAGCTTGATCAGCTTAAAATTGACCGCGATGCCGAGGGGAACAAGGAGGCTTCTGGTTCTGGTACTGATTTAGTTCTGTACAGGTAAGTTTCCATATCTTGCAGTAATTATTGTGTTGACAAATAACAGAGCGACATAGACAATTCTCCAGTGAAAGCTTTTGTTTATTATCACATCAAGAGTGGTTTACAACCAAAAAAAAAAAAAAAAAAAAAAAAAAAAAAAAAAAAAAAAAAAAAAAAAAAAAAAAA